TTTTTTTTTTTTTAAATGTGGTGCTAGGGATTGAACCCAGGGTCCTTTATCTGAGTTACATTACATCTCTTTTTACTTTTTTGAGACAGGGTCTCAAAAAAAAAGTTGCCCTTGCTGGCCTTGAACTTATTATTCTTCTGCCTATGTCTTCTGAGTCACTGAGATTATAGTCATGTGCCACCATGCCTGACTTGAAGTTATTGTTTCTTAAAGGCTTTAATGAGCTGCTCCTACTGATAGAAATATATTTTATCACTCTTATGCATTGGGAATGCAGTTTAGTAACTAATGTCTTTGTGGGGAAATGATCCACATTATCATGAGGCATTATTTGATGGCATTTCAGTTACCTGAAATGAAATCACTGAAAAATTTCCTGCTTCCATTGAATATGGGAGCCACATCCCCAGCCCTTTTATATATTTTACTAGAGATAGAGTCTCGATGAGTTGCTTATGGCCTTGCTATGTTGCTAAGGCTGAGTTTGAACTTTTGATCCTGCTGCCTCAGCCTCCCAAGTCACTGGGATTATAGGTGTGTGCCACCGTGCCTGACACTTAGTCCCTTTTTATGTTTTGGGACAGGGCCTCAGCTAAATTGCTGAGGCTGGCTTTGAACTTGCAACCCTCCTTTCTCAGCCTCCTGAGCCACTGGGTTTACAGATGAGTGCCACCCTGCCCAGTAAGAATTTTCATTTTCTTTTTTTTTTTAGTTTTTTTTTTATTGGTTGTTCACAACATTACAAAGCTCTTGACATATCATATTTCATACATTATCATTTTCAATGAAAGGTTTTGCATTGTGTCTCACTGTAATGATTGAGATATATAAGAATTTTATTATTGGAAAATTAACCCAAAATATGTGAGAGGAAAAATATTTCTGATATTGTTGAGTAATACAACTAAGCAAAACTGTTCTGATAACTTCTTTACCTACCCTGAGTTACTGTAATGAATTACTAAGTATGGAAATTATTTTATTGTAACTCAATCAAATCCTGGCTAACCTTTTTCTACATTTTGATGTTGTTTGTTTCTAATTATTTTGTAGCCTATTCCTCAACCAGATCCTTTGCACAATAATGAAGAAACACATGATCAAGTGCTAAAAACCAGATTAGAAGAAAAAGATGAACACCTTGAGGAAGGACCCATGATAGAAAAACTTAGTAAAATGTTCTTTACTACTAAGCATCGTTGGTATCCTCATGGACAGTAAGTTTTATTTTCTTTCTTCAGCTCTGACTACATACACGAAAGGAACATGTAACTATCCTTGCATTAACAATTTCTGAAATAATACTGCACGAGAAAGTTAACCCCAAGTACAATCGCATACTATATTGTACACCACCCTCCCTACCGCCATCCCCATACTGAGGACTCAACCTAGTACCACTGAACTGTGTCCCTAATCCTACCCTTTATTTTTAAGAATTTGAGACAGGCCTTTTACAACATTACCAAGGCTGGCTCCAAACTGTGATCTTACTGTGTCAGCCTCCTGATAGAAATATCAAGACAATCTGCTCCACTAAGTTCTACACAATCCCTGTTTGTAAGTTTGGGTATTTTGGTAGATAGCTGGATTACCAGCATGCATCACCATGCCCAGCTATATTATATTTTTATATCAATATATATACTATAGTTAAATTGAAATAATGCTTTTTTAGCAATATTATGTTTTTATATCAATATATATATTATAGTTAAATTGAAATGCTTCTTTATTTTTCTTTATTTTAATGAGAGAATTTAAACACAGCTTTCTGTGAATTTTATAAAAGTCCTTGAAAATTTTATTCTATGATAGTCATTAATTAATGTGTGATTTTTATTTAGCTTCCTAATAAGAAATTAATCTCATTCTCAGCCCTTTATCTATTCTTTTAGTAGACTGAGTTGTTGTAAAAATAATTGGGGTGCAGCACACAATTTGGCAATAAATATTGTTTTCAGTTCTCTTGCCTTTTTCTCATCAACTCTTATCCTCTATCTCTGGCTTTAATTTTCGTATTTTGAATCATTTTCTTTTCTTGTGGTGTTAGGGCCTAACATACAGTGCTTTTATGCTTAGCTACTCCAGCTCCAAATCTTCTCTCTTTCATGTCTGTTGTCTTTCAGACTAAACTATGAGGGCATTTGGTTTATAAATATAAACAGTGTTTGTTTGAGCAAACTTTGTTCTCATTCACTTGTGTAACTGCCACTGGGCTGGCACACTTATAGCAGGATACATTTATGGAACTAACAAATATACATTCATCAGTCTGTTCTAGTTCCGGGTGCGGTGGCATACACCTGTTATCCCAGCATCTCGGGAGTCTGAGGTAGGAGGATCTTGAGTTCAAAGCCAGCCTCAGCAACAGTGAGGTGCTAAGCAACTTAGTGAGACTCTGTCTCTAAATAAAATACAAAAAAAGGGGATGTGGCTCAGTGATTGATTGCCCCTGAGTTCAATCCCTGGTATCAAAAACAAAACAAAACAATCTGCTCCATTAAGTTCTATACCATTCCTGTTTTTAAGTTATTTATACTCAAGGAGTGAAGATAATGAAGTAAATATATAATTAAAATCAAGGGTGATTAAGCCTCTTGAAGGATGGCTCAGAGATACATACGGGAGTGGGGGAAAGCTCCATAGGCAGAGGAGACAGCAAGTGAGATAAAGTATGCTGGGGTAGTTGCCAATAGTTCATATTGGATGGAATCTAGAATATGTGGAGGAATATAGGAAGGGTATTGTGAAGGAGTTTGTGCTGAGCAGTTTTAACATGTGAACTGACTTGTACATCACTTATACATTAGAAAATCATTAAGAAGGCTCTGTATTTGGGATAAAGTGATACAAGGAAAGACTAGAGTTAGGGAGACCTGTTAGGAAACTATTAACAGAAGTCTGGTGAAAAATGTTGATGATCTAAATGGACTACCACTGAGAACAGAAAGAAGGAAAATGAAAGAAGATTGGTATTTAAGAACTTTAATCAGCATTAGTAGATGCATGGTAGGGAGAGAGGGAAGAGATAGGAGGCCTCTCTGACAGGGGTGTTTGGGTAGATAGTGATGCCATTTATATGAATGGGGAAACAAGTTTGGGAGTAAGGAGGATGAACCCACAGTTGATTGAGTTTGAAGGGCCTGTGGATCATCTGGTGGGGAACAATTCCAAAGGGATAGATCTAGGGATTCTGGAGCTCTGTTCACTGTTTAGTTTAAAAGAAGCTTCTTCCCTTAACTTTAGTTATGACAGAGATTCTCCAGGGTACTGCTTTTTATTGTACATCTTGGTGAAATTCACTCTGAGAGTTTTAATTATAGTTGCTGTACAGCCTGTTCTGCCATGTTTTTTCTCCTCAGTCTTATTATCAGTATCATCATCCTTAGAATATTTCAAACGACTTCTTTCCAAAGTTTTTGATTCATTAAAATAAAACAAAGTCTTTTTCTGTCTAAAAAAGCCCCTCTTTTAACAATCTCAATATTAAAGGTGATATTTCTATGTCAATTTCCCAAGAAAAAAATTTGTTTTTTGTTTTTATTTTTGTAATGACCAACATGGTCTTTCAATTCCTGCTTCTATTTTTTATCTCTTTCCTTGATTCCTTGATTTTTTTTTTTAAACTTAATACTCAGTTTTTATGCATGCTATCTGGGTCTGTACCTATCTTTGTAATTGTTAGGGTTTTGTGAATGTTAGGGTGTATGAAAACAAATTAGCAAGCATTTCCATACTATATTTAAATCATTAAATCATTACTATATTTTAAGATTTATTTCCATGATTTACAACGTCTCTTAAAGTTTGTCTTTTAGTTTTGTCATGTTATCCAGATATTTCAGTTAAGCCTAACCCTGAACTTTGGTAATGGCTTTTAGTATTTGTTGCCTTCCTCTATGTCTCATATTGCTGCAATCTTTTGTAATCGTTGCTTATAGACAAGTCACTGAGGATACGAAAATCCTCTGAAGGGAAGAAAGACTAAAGACAGTATTAGGAATCTTAAATATGTGTTTCAAGAGTTTTTATTTATTTATTTATTTATTTATTCCTTTTTGTGGATGGATCACAATTTGTTTATGTTCCAATTATGAACATTTTGAGTACTTCTCAGTATTTGGGGCTTATCTGAATAAAACTGCTTAAATGTTTAAGTCATGGTATTGACATGTTTTCACTTCTTGTTTTTTTTTGAGTTTAAATTTTCTTCTTTTTTTTCAATATTTTTTTAGTTATAGGTGAACACAATATCTTTTTATTTTATTTATGTGGTGCTGAGGATCGAACACAGGGCCTCACACATGAGAGACAAGAGCTCTACCACTGAGCCCCAGCCCCGGCCCCTCTTGTTTTTCTTTTTTTTAATACCAGGAATTGAACTCTGGGGCTTATCCCAATGAGCCACACCCCCAGCCCTTTTTTGTATTTTATTTATAGACAGGGTCTCACTGAATTGCTTAGCACCTCGTTAAGTTGCTAAGGATGGCTTTGAACTTGCAATCCTCCTGCCTCGGCCTCCCAAGCTGCTGGGATAACAGGAAAGCACCACTGCTCCTGGCTATGTTTTCACTTCTTTTGGGCAAATCCCTGTAAGTAAGATCCCAGTAGGGTCATATGATAAAAAAAGACACATTTAAATTCAGTAGAAACTGTCAAAGTGATATTTCTACCAGTAGTAAGTGTGAGTTCTACTTGTTCCACATCCTCCCTAACACTGGGTATTATTGTCTTTTTACTTTAGTCATTCTGTTGGGTAAGTAGTAGCAATTAATTGTAATTTTCCCCAATAATAATGATGTTGAACATTTTTTCATGTGGCCATCTATACATTTGTAATGGGTATTTGTGTGTGTGTGTGTGTGTGTGTGTGTGTGTGTGTGTG